AACCCCTGGCTGCTGCAGCAAGGACTCTGACTTGTAGTTGTCAGGTGAGCTACCTCAGTGCCCCCTGAATATTACAATTTTTAAAGAGAAAGATTATCCTTTCAGAACAGAATGTTTAGCATCTGCCTTGTCTTCATTTTTGTCATTGATAAATTGAAAGTGAGTTGTTTTCGCTTGAGAGAGAAATTGGCTTATCCCCGCTGCGTAAACAAACAAAGACAAGAGGATAAAGGAGACTGAGCTAAACACAAACACACACTCCCACTGACAGTCAGTGTGTCGGTTGCCAGCTTGTACAGTTGATACAGTACACTGCTGTTTGGGGTGAATTAACTCCATAATGTTCCAGTGGTTAAATTCGAGGGACTGATGCAACAAGCCTTTAAGGTGTAAAGGTTTAAATTTAAATAAATTAGAACTTCTTCAATTCTGTGTGCACTTAATTGTACCAATTCAAAAGTGTCACTTTGAGATATCCTGGAGGGGCTTCTGTAACTTTTCTTTTAGTCAAGGGGAGGGTCCAAAAAGAATTCTCTCAAAAACACTCAAAAATGTGATATTAAGTGAATCATAATGTTCAGCCCTCCACTCCACACAATCATTGTTGTATAGTCCCTCAAGATTTGAAATCCAAGGACCTACCAGTAAACATAGCTGAGGCCTCCTTGATCGGCTCTGGAATGCTGCCCATGTCGCTGACCTCCGAGCCGTCTGCGTCAGGGCGCGGCAGGGAGGACATGGCTTGGATGGTGCTCAGGTCGTGCTCCAGCTTCAGGATGAGCTCCTTCTGCTCCGTGCTGGTCCGCACGGCAGACGAAAACTCCACCTGCAGCTCTGCGTAACGGCCTGTGGAGAGTGGAGAGGAAAGGTGAATTATTTTTTATTCAGGTTCCTCGTTCGTCTACGTATTTTGTTTTTAACTGTCAAAATAACTCACCTGTGGAAGGCGTAAATGGCAGAAGCAGTCCAACATCATGAAAACCCCCTGTAAGAATCCCCCTTACTATCTAGTCTTTCCTGGCTTTCTAACTGATCTCTTTCTCTGAGAATACTTATTTCACAGAACCATCCAACAAAGTGTTCAACAAAGCACATTTCCAACATGATTTTTGGCAAAGAAAAAAAACTACCACAGCACACTTTTAGTATTTGTATAAAAGAGATTTACTTCAATTATCACACCTAGGGTGCATGTGAATAATAATGATGATGAATCAAATGTCAATCATAACAAATACATTGTGAACGTTTCATACAGTGATATTGCTTTTCAATGTTGTAGAAGGGACTGTTTTACAGTGCTGAGAACAAACAACATGATACGTTTAGTAAATAGAAAGATAAAGAAACAATGATACATGAGGAAAAACGAAAGGGAGGGAGACCCCAAAGGAGAAAAAAGCATCTCAGGAGTGACAGAAGTGCTAGGGAAACAACTTTCAAAAAACATCTTAACCATCCCTTTACAGTCATGCAGCCTTTTGTACTACAACACACATGTACGCGCACACACACTCACAAAAAAAAAAAAAAGCAGTGGGAGAAGTTATGAGAATTATTACTTCCACATTGTTGATGACAGGTTGGACAAATCATCTAAAAACACTCTGAACTTGCTAAAGCCTCAACAAGCATCTTAAAGCTTTCCAAAAGGGGAGGGGGGGTGAAGATCTCCCCAGGTCATTTGGTTGTCAGACTACACTGTGGTTTAAGCTATGGGTGAACCGAAGCGACGACACAAGGTAGCAACATTTCCGAAAAAACAAAAACAAATAAACTGTCAGCAACCTTTCAACAGAGGTGGATAACTACTTCACTATTTGGCTTTTTGCTTCCTCTTTTAAGTCTTGCGAGCATTTGCTGAAATGTTTGACCCAGAGTTGATCTCTGGGTGTTATACTTGTACAGTTAAGCATTAGATAACTGAAGAGATAAAGAGGAAATGGTTTAAGACTTAAAAATTAGCTGGAGCCAATGTGAGAGTTGAGTGAAAAAACAAAAAAAGCACGCAAGTAAAGTGGAGGGGGAGTTTAAAGGATGAGTGTATTGTGCTGTATTATGTGTGTATGTATTACTGAGTGTGCTATGCATACAGCACCACTGATTCGGAAAGTGTTTCCTTACAAAACCCACTTCATAAGATATATTCTAAAAGTATTACAAAAAACATCTGAGGTTTTTTCTTTCTTTCTTTTTTTCCTGAATATGGTGACCAGTGCTGCTGTTCGGGCTTCCATTACAACTAATATGTCAAATGAATAACCACTACTTCAACAGATCATACAGTAAAGCTTTACAACTTCAGAAAACATGATATGATATACAGCATCTGTTACACCTTTACAATGTTATTCAACAGTGTATAGAATCATCTGATTTAAATTTGTAGAAAAATATCTGTGGATCATGGAAAAGTCCTGAATCGTCCCTTCTCTTCTCCTGCCTTCAAACAAAAGCATACTGTGACAATAGTGAATCAATAGCTACTTGATCGACTGTATTTACACGTCTCTTTTCCAAATAACCATTAGAATTGGCACACGTCATTATCAATACCTGTAGTGCCATTATTAATGTCACAGCAAACCTGACACAAACAGAAAAATACAAAATGCCCTATGAATAAATTCAGTGTTATTACAGTGTACGCTGTTTCTGCATGCTTCCTCCTTCATTCAATGCTCTGGCCTTTCGCTGCTAGTTTAGGTTATGTACAACGTAAGAAATGCATTGTGGGAAAACAACTGTCTGAAATAAGACCCGGACCGAAGCGCATCTGCAGGTCAGTCATAAGAATACACGAGTTCATTTTCTTCCTTTTACTCTTTCACTGCACCCCAGCAATTATATACAACCCTCTCCGGAGAGCTGAGAAAAGTCGAGTTTAAAGTACCAATATGAAGTGGATGAGAAATAAATTTGGATCGAGATACAACGGGATATATTATGAACAAATCAGGTGAAATCGTCTACAACTAATGACATCACTAGTTTGGTGCCCTGCTTGGCAGTTAAAGGCACAAATCTGATGATCTCACATGGTTTAGGTGAGTTGATGGATCTGGCTATAAAATGGCAAATGGGTTAAGTGCTTATACTTTACAGTAGCTATTTATCACCATAAAACATACTGCGAGTGTCCAGTCCAAGCAGTCCAACAGAAGGCAATGAGCCCTCAGTATTCTGCAGAAGACAGATGTTTCACATCAGTCGTCCACAGGAAGAGCCAATGTTTGTGGAATTTTACAATTACCAGTTACATCAGAAAATCCAATTTCAGCTAATGCATCTTAATGCAGTGCAATGAGGTTATCGGTATCTTTTGACAGGCTGCCAATATATCTGGATGTACATTCAGGGTAAGGAGAGGCTTAAGGATGGACTGAGGAGATTCTGGATATAAACCAACTCATAATATCTACAACTGTACAGGACAATGGCCCTTTTCTGTCACATAGTTACCTGTAGTTTGAAATAAGGGGGCTTCTGTAAAAGGATACAGATTATCATGTAGAAAACATGGGTACAGCTATCTTATGTTTCAATTTTAGTGTTAGGATGCGGATGCGGAGTCTGTGCTTGGTTCACAACCACTTTTAAAAAAAGGCATTGTTGTAGTGTTTACAGACCCTGTCCAAGGTAAGATCCTAATAAGTGCTTTGTTACAGACTGCAATATAAATTCTGCATAATCATAGGCTGGCTATCTGTTCAATCTGGCATAGCACACCTGCTAGCTGGTACACTTCTCTAATCTCAATTTGGCAGATATGACCTCTTTCAAGTTAACACGTGTTCTCAAGTTTAGGTAATTTCATTTGACCTATTTGACAAAGTGTATACATTTGGACCTGTTAATTATGTTAATATGATTAACGAGTGGGCGAACTCTATCTAAAGAAAGCTGCATGCTCTGCCGAGCGTTAGTGTTGGGCTTGCCCAAGAAACAGCCAGAAAAAAAACAAAACGAAAAACAAAAACCCATTATCGGAGAATAGAAAACAGGAAAAGAGATATGCTATCATATATTCACTGATCTTGATATGTCCTTTGTTTTTTCTAGCTAGCAATTTAAGAGCATAACAGTTGTGGTAAAAGCTTTATGCTTACGGGAGCATGAATTGTAGCAAACACATTTTTCAAAGCTATTGAAATGACACTAACTTTAGGATTCATGAATATACAAACAAATGAGAACTAGTACATCTTTGTAAATATTAACCAATACTGCCGGCAGTCTATACGTCTAATAAAAATGTTACTTGCCCTCAGGAACAGTATAATCCCTTAAAAAATAGACAACTCAAATGATAAGACATTAAATGAAAAATACAGCACCTATAAATAAGCAGAATAAAAACCAAACTATAAATGCAAAATAGCAATAAAACCAAGCTACAGTAAATCATAGTATTACACTACTTTGTGAGAAGATTAATGTAATGGTAACGCATCAAACAGCTTAAAGAAGGGTGTCAGTTGTGCACTAGTAGTGTGTGCAAGTAGATACGAAATATGACCCAACTCATTGGAAACACTGAACACTCCTCAATCGCACACACTTGTGCACACGCATGTATTGACAGGCGTGTGTGTACATGCACCCGCGCACACACACACACACACACACACACACACACACAAAGGGGAGGCAGTAGGCTGACAGGCACTGAGGGCTTGTGTGGGACAGGGAGGAGGTGATATGCCTTATAATTTGTAGTGTATACAGTAGAATTCAATGCAAAAGACTAAACATCCCTGGATACAGGACAGACTGGAGGAGAGTGGTAACTACTCATACCAGGGTTGGGGTGAATTCACTTTGACGGCAATCTACAGGAAGTACAGATTAATCAAGTACTGTACATTGCAATTTATTCACTAAAACCCATATTTTCAGTCAGAAATTTCATTATTGATAATCTTCTTAAATTTAATTCTGAGTGAATTGACCTCGACCCTGACTTACATGCAGGCAAATACAAATGCACACGAGACACATACACACACAAACGAACACACACACACACACACACACACACACTCTTCCTGATTTGGCCTATAAAAAGATGTGTGTTTGTGAACAGAGAAAAGTTGTCGGTGGTGCAGACACACACACACCCAGCAGGTCCAGTGCTGGGTAAAGCTGTGACGTGCACAACCTAAAACAACAAGAGACACGTAAGTATCACCATGTCAGACAGCTACAGTACTACGTGAATTCATTGTATCGTATTTCAGCAACGCAACATTATTCCATTCTAATTCGATTTTTTTTTAAAAACAGTAACTTGTTATTCTCTTTTCTCATTTTGTACTAATTAAAAATGCTTCCTAAAATTCCCTATTTTGTACTCTTTAGAGTCAATAGACTGTGCAATCTCTTATTGGCAACCAAATTGCAATATCAAAAAAAGAGATCATCCTTCATCCTTAAAAGAAGGGTTTAAGGAGGCAAAAAGAGGGTTCCTTCCTTCCTTCCTCTTCAGATGAGTGCGTGTGTTTGTGAGGAATTAAGAGATCCTTCTGGCCATCACATGGCTGTCAGCAGGATAGGATATGGGACACAACAGGTCAAAGTTCATTTTTCTTACATCAGTAACCATGGCAGCTCAGCCGGCAGGCTTTCCACTACCCTCTTAAGAGTGTAGGAGTGAGATAAAAAAGAAAACATGCTGCCATTGAGAAGAGAAAACACACACACACACACACACCATTTTTGGGTGTGTACACACACACACGCACAGGTGCACGCTGACACAACCCCTAACATACAAACACGCACACACACACACGCAGTGAGTGAAAAAGGCAAAGGGTTTGTAACAGTCACTCTACAGTGTGAAA